CGATATTATCTTACGATTCGAGTGAAAAGCATATGGGTATTCATGAGTTTTATTAGCTAATTAAATAGAAAAAAATTCCGATTACCAGATTGAAAATACTTACCCAGAAATTTCGTAAATAATACATTTTTAGATTACTATGAGATGAAGCTATCTAAGATGCTTTAGGCGGATGTTAATAATTTGATAAAAAGAAGTCAGTATCACGGACTAACACTTTACTAATAGTTACATAACTTTAATATAAATAATTGCATTTGTATTACAGTACAAACATAAATATGCACAATAATTCTCAGCGTGTCTAGGCCTACTTGAGCAGCCTCGAATATTTTAATTACCGTAGAAGTCCAGCTACAGAAGGCTTCAGTATCTGCTCCTCTACACAGCCATTTTGTAATTGTTCTTCAAAAGCTCTCCATTTGATGAAGATTATACATCGTATCATTTGTGGAATTTCAAAGTAAATTATGCGTGATATACCAAATCTGCCAATGAAATGTTGAAAAAACAGACAAAAGCGAATCTTGCCGTTTCTTCTGATCCGCACAAGTTATTTTTTTTTTTTGTACTTATCTAATATTTGTACATCATTCCTAGTATAATGGTAAAAATACTATTAACTTATTCTATTTTTTTCTTATTTCTTCCTTTATAAACAGGTTTTTCTGTGTTCCTGTAGATTCTTCATACTCCTCTTTCTTCTCTTAACACTTTGGAGTACCACAAGGTAGCGTTTTAAGTCCAATTCTCTATTCTCTATACACCTCTGATATACCTGAGCACCCTAACACCACCATTTATTGCTTCCCTAACAACACTGCAATTCTTTCTTCCCACAAAAATCCTACTGTCGCATCAATTACTCTTCAAAACCGCCTCTATGATATTTCAAAGTGGTTCGAAAACTTATAAATCGAAGTAAATAGTAGCGAATCCAGCAACGTGAGTTTTTCTTTTAGGAAAGCCTCATGCCCGCCCATAACTAAAATTAATAAACTAGTGCCTTCAAAAAACTATGTACGGTACCTCAAACTCTACTTAGAAAAAAGACTTGCCTGGAACATATATACTAAATTAAAAAGACAAGAACTGTCAAGACGATATAACCAAGTTTCACATCTTGTGGAATACAGATCCTCACTTAAGTTACGAAACAAGCGACTATCTACAACACTATACTGAGACCAATTTTGACATACGGAGCAGTACTTTAGGGCTCGTCCAAACAAACACTACCTATACTAAATTTCATTCTTCAACTCAAAATAACTTTAATCCACTTGTTTTTTTTTTTTTTTGTTTTTTTTTTACTTCCAACTCTCTGTTTCCTAAATGACGCAAGATTAAAAAGGAGATGGACAAGAGACCTACCCCTACAATAATAACATAATGAAAACAAATCAAGCAAATCAGAAGCAACTAACCAATACATCTGCACTGTAGCACAGGTGCAAATGACATAGAAAATTAAAATAAATAAAACATTATTTTCTTTATGTGTACCAGAAGAATCTAGACCGACTTATGGGATTCATTGGTTTGAAAATTGGTCTTTTGGAAATATATTGGAGTATAAAATATAGCTAGTACTCACCAAATTGATTTAATATATTAAAATATATTTTATTCTTTTCTTTGTTCAATATATATTTGAGAATAAGATTTGAATGATACCGTGATTAAGGACAGAGAGGGAGGGCTATCCATCGAGGGTCACCAACTATTAATTTGCGAGCCAGCAATTGGAAAGAGATTTATAGCCCCGAAAGGGGGTAATCGAACCCGAGTCGGTTATATCATAAAGTAGAGGACTAAGCACTATGCCATGCGAGGAGGTACTATCAATATTGCTCAAGTTATGGGTCACCTTCTGCACCTTTTTCGGCGCGATAAAATAACATTTACAAAAATTCATTTAAGCTTTCTGTTAAGCTACGAAGAAAAGTTTCGTGATGAATCATTAATTAATTATACCTAATATTCTTCTAAAGTTCCAGTATTTGTGTTTTTACCGAAATATAATAATTATTACTATACCCCAGTGAAAATGCTCACATAAGGTAGCCATTCTTCTGCGTAATGCTCTCGACATATAAATTTCTTGAATGAGACCTATTTATTCGTATATAAAATGTAATATTTTCATAAAATATCTATTTAGCTCACCGAATCTGTTAACCATCATTCTCTCACATGACTGTTGATATAGAAATTTATTGAATAAATAATTAGCTTGTTCTCCTAGAAAATAACCTTCCTAAATAAAAATTTAGGTGAAATAGTTACTAATACTTGACAATCTTAGTTGCTGTATGTAAATAATTGGTATAACCACTATACTTTTGCATTTAACTCTTCTAATTTTTCATTGGGACTTAGTTATGTTTCTTCTATCTAAAAAAATACAATAATATCTCTATTGTAATAAGCTAATAGGTAACTGCAAGTTTGTTGCGAGGTTCTTGTGCAAGACTAAGACCAAATCCAAGACTGGGTGCGCAAGACCAGGACTACTGTTGCCCAAAATCGGTATAGCTTTTCCACTTTGCAAGACCAAGACCAAGGCAGCCTAACTGTTGCAAGACCAAGGCCAGGGCTAGTAAAAAAATTGATTTTTAACTAAAAATTAAGGCAAAATAGTTGCTAATAGTTGACAATATTATATGTAAATAATTGGTATAACCCATATACTTTTGCATTTAACTCCTCTATTTTTTCGTTCGGACTTCGTTAGGTTTTTCCTCTCTAAAAAATTACAGTAACAGCTCTATATTAATAAGATATTAAGTAACTGCAAGACTGTTGCGAGACTCTTGAGCAAGATCAAGACTCGTCTCGGTCTCGCATTCGGGCAACACTAACCAGGACCCGTCTTGGTCTCGGATTTGGGAAACACTACTGTCTTGAAGTTACCTATTAGTCTATTACTGTAGAGACATTACTTTAATTTTTGAGATAGGGGAAACCTAACTAAGCCCGAATAACAAATTGGAAGAGATAAATGCAAAAGGTATATCGGTTATCTCAATTTTTTTAAATATAGTAACTAAAATTGTCAAGTGTTAGTAACTATTATGACTTAATTTGTATTCACAAACTCTATTTTTTTTACCAGTCTTGGTCTTGGTCTTGCAACGGTCAGGCGGTCTTGGCCTTTGTCTTGCAAAGTGCTAGACGAAGGCCGATTTTGGGCAACACTACTTCAAGTACTCAAACCCCTTCAGTGTTAGTAACATGCCATGATTATGACACACAGGCTTGGATTAAAATGTCGGCAAATGAATATTTTAAAAACTAACAGCGCGTGTTATTAGTTTCACTAAAAATGTTTGATAACAAAAGATTTTCTGATATGTTATGTTCTCAACATATATAAACTAATGGTGGAAATACGATTAAAAATATTTTTGATCATTATATACAATTGAAACAAATTAATTCACGGTATGAAAATCGTTTATACATTTATAAGTTTCTGAATATTTCACAAACTACAAGTTTTATTTATTTATTGACGATCCTTATATTTTTCATTTCTTTATAAATGTTTGTTGAATATGGTTTTACGGATCTACTAAAACAAACTCACATCGTCCGGAAATATGAACGATGGCTTTACACAATTTAACTTGATTACATAAGCCTTCAGAATATCAAGATTATAAATCTCTAGCTGGAGGCTTTATGGATGGTTTGAGGGAAGGACACATAGATCTCGGCTCTCCAACCCTTGGCAGCCATAATCCATGGATATAGGCCAATTGAATCCTCAAAGGGTCTATTTCTATTCAGGGACGCTACACCTCAATTGAAATTCTAGTGAACAGGAAATCCATTTCATGTCAACAGATGGGGAATATACCAATCGTTCTGAAATGAAAAGAGTATTTAGTGTGAATAGTATTAAAAAAAAGAATTATATTGGTGAAAATCTTTTTTTTTCTATTGAAAATATATAGATTAAGTAAATCTTTTGCCACTTTAGGCCTGCTCCATCTTTGCCCGTCTAAGGCTATTTATTTCCAGTTATCTGCACGCAGCTCTATTGCGCCTTTGTTGGTTCTTTCAATCCATCTGATTTTTGGACTTCCACGTGGTCTTTTGACATCTATTGAGGCATTCGTTGCAACGTAGAGGCTTCAAGATGGATTGCTACGAGCAACATCCCCCGTCCATCTTAACATAGTTTAGAGCCATTTTATCAGGGTATATGATATAATTAATATATAATCAACTAATTATATAAATTAATAATTATTTTACGTAATTGCATTACATTAATATACAATCAATACATAATTAATATAAAGAGGGTTAATAAATTGTTATTTTTAAACTACATTGAAATATTCTACCCCGCCTTCCTAATGTACTTTGATAATATCCCTAGCAATGCAACAAAATGAATTATATCTACTTACTTCTTTCTGTGTATTTTCATACTCTGGATTGGGGCTATGCTTTGAGATAGAAACTAACATTAATTTATGTAGTTTTTATTTATAAATAAATAGAATATACTCAGTTTCTTTTCCATTCCTTGCTCACCTCTTAGGCTAACGGATTTTTTACTAGGGTCAGGGGAGAGTTAATAGCCATCCCTTCGGTGCCGGGACTTGGACACGTAATTATTGTGTCATCTGATGGGTGTTCTATATTGGCGTTAGCCCGCTTGTCAACTTCGCTCCCGATTATATTCAATTTAATACTTTTTTTCAAATTAAGAGCTGTGATATCTTTTTCTGTAGATCGTAGGTCACAGATGTTTAATAGCAAATAAGATAACCGCCTTAAACTAAAATAAATCATTTGGTAATATAGTTGCAGGGTCGTGGTTATTTTTTTGCCAAAAATTGTCTAATCAAAATTGAGAGTAATTAGTATATTAAATTACATAAGAAAGATTATAAATAAATTATGAAAAAAAACATTATATTAGAATTCAAGACATGTAATGTTGCTGACTATGCTTGGTCTTGGAAAAAATAGTATAAGAGATGGTACACAGATATGCCAATTTCAACGCTATTTATCCTGCTGAAACGTTAAAATCACATGGCTCTTGGGTAATTAAATATTTGTAACCGAATGTTACAAAGATCTATTTGTGTATATGTTAAGTTTGCACTGATCCTGCAACTTAAGAGAAGGTTAAGTTTTATGGGATAAAGATAGAGAAAGTTTTTGATTTTTTTCAATTATTGGTATGCAACCAAAACCATGAAATTCTTGATCCAACGAAACAAAGAAATCATATATATTTTATTATTTTAAACATCGAGTATGATATACCTATCCAGAAAGGAAATATGTGATGTGTCATTTTTTACAAAAGATTTTACAAAATTACAAAAACAAAACATTTGGAAATTCTTATTCTCTCTCTCTCTCTCTCTCTCTCTCTCTCTCTCTCTCTCTCATTACCTAATTCATTTATATTTAAATGTGAACTTTTTGTAATTGGTAAATATTTAGTTTGATTTATTCAAAGAAATTGTTCACCTTTGACATAATAATACATATGATTTGTTACACCAGTGAGGTGTTTTTTTAAATTTTATTTAATATTATTTAGTAAAACAACTTGAGTCTTTCAAGCACAAGTTGAAACTGTATTTAATATATTCACAAAATAAAATAACACCGCTGACTGAGTTGGGACCTGAAGTGAAGAATCGATTGGAATTCATATAAAAGATAGGGCGCCCAAGATATAGGAGTTATTTGCTAGATATCGCAGCAACCTCCATGATGAATCACAAATATCACCAGAATAAATCACTTCGACATTTTTATCAGAAGTTTCCCAACCGTGCTTTCAGAATCAGTAATTGTTTGTGATACAAACTTTCAATTGTAATAACAAAAAATAAATAAAACTAAATCCGCTATATACTATTCTTAACAGAGTCATTACTTTCATATTATCCTTGTTTCTTTATCGTAAAAGTTCTTAAGTAAGTTCTTTTTATCGTAAAATTTAGATCTGAATAAAATTTTATTCACCACAAATTCGTCTTTTTATAATACAAGTAGTGTGTAATTAAATATAGATATTCACAGTTCTTAACCATTTTCTTTATTAAATGAAATACTCATATTTAAACTTATGAGCTCTACTGATAACGTTTTACTTTTTTAAATTTTTTTCTAAGGTTCTGTAGTTTTCTTTTCGTAAATAAAATAGTACCTTCTTTATTAAAAATTAATTATTTGTTTACATATATCTGAATATCTTCAGTTTTATATATATTACATTTCATTTTAAGTTATTATACAAGCAATTCAATTTTGTAATTAAACAAAGCAGGTCATTTATTATTCACTTTTTAAAGTTTGAAAAATGTATTAATCATACTTCACAATTTATCGCAAACATCGCAAACCTGCTGTGCTTTATTCTTCAATCGTGTTGCTATATAATACTTCACATTAAAACATGGAGATGTTAAGTGTTTCTCTGACGGATAAATTTATTTATTAGCAACTATGTAACCCACATTACCTCTAAATTATTATTATTTTTTAGTCTGTCAACTAACGAATAGAATCTTTCAATTCTTATGAGGCAAAAACGTTTAGATTCTTAAGCTTATGGGTGCTTTTTTTTTTTTTGTCTCATTTTCATTGCCTTTTAGGCTACTCGGGTTTTTACTCCGGTCGGGGAAAGAGAGAGGAGGAATTATGGCGGAGAAGAGATTTTGGCCTAGCGTATCGACAGATCGAAGGCAGACTATCAAAGATGCAGTTTTCGTGTAGATTTGCTATTTTATAATGCATTTTCTTGCAGAGGATTCGTAACTTTACATACAAATAAACTAATAGTTTAAAAATATAGTTAAAACAATTGGGAAATTAAAAATTCTTGTAGTTTAATAAAAAATATATTTTAGTAATGCATAAAAATAATGTTATGAATATAAAAAAAGAAATGAGAAAAAAATATTTAAATAATTTACAAAGTTAATAAAAATAATGGAAAAAATTAAGAGAAAGAAAATCAGAAGATAAATGTATTATAGAGAGATATGTGAAAAAGTAAATTAAAAAGTTAAATGTAAATAAAATTATAGATTTTAAAATTAATAAAAATGTGAAACATATAAAAATTTGTCGTGAATCTTGCAGTCAGTGCTCATCTAACCCATCTTGCGTGGTTGTACTCGAAGGAAATAACTCAAAGAAATTTTTATTTCCTCTGAGTATTAGCCCTTGTTCACACAACTGCCTAAGTTTTTTACTTTTCGCCTGAGATAAAGAGTCAATCATAATATAGATGATATAGTGGTGGATCAAAATCGTCAGCAGGGTTTTTGCTTTTTTCGCGTTTTCGTTTTCATACTAATGTTTGGAAATCGCCATTGTGAAATGACCATTGCTGTTCACAGATTCTTAACAAAAAAAATTATTAAAATGTATAGTGGCGTATGTGCCATATTCGATAGTTTGAAATGATTTAATATTAGTTATGTAGTTTTGAAATATAATAGAAAACTATAAAATATGGCATACTCGATACATTTATATCATGTTTTCAAATAGAGTTGGCCTCTGCCCAATGTAAACATGTGTTGTTAATAACGATTGTTATTATTCATCAATCGATCTACATTTCTAGCAAAGTAAAAAATTCATAAAAATGATCTTACTGATTCTGGTCTTCCGGTCGCAGTTCAAATTTGATATTTTGCCAGATGGTGGCCCTCAATGGAGTACAATATTAAATAAAATAAAAGTAACCTAAACATAATTTAGGGACTTCATAATAGTTGTATATAAATCAGAAAGAAGAGAGGAAAGAGTTATAGCATAAACCAATCCATAATTTACATTGTGCTTTAGTAAATCAAGTTGATTGTTACAATTAGATTAAAAGTAAGCTACAGGAAAAGAAAGCAGGAGATGAGTCCTAGAAGGGTAGCTACTGGGAAAAAGAATGACATTACCAACTTGAAGGGGGAAAAACTTGCTCCTTCTCTCAGTCCAATTAACAAGCCATTTATAAACTTTTAGAATTCATTAAATATATAGCTTTTTTACTTTAATGTATTCTCCATCCGCCCTTTTCTGAGCAGATGTATAGGGGCGGATTTTGTGCTTTAGATTTTTAAATATATCCTTTTTTCTTTCAACATGTGATCTTGGTTATTCCTGCCCTGTTGATGCCTAAATTGGTGAAACTTTGGTATGTAACTATTCATTTGAATGTCGGAGACTCATGGCACTGTTGAATGGATTTTTCCATTCATAACATATGATATATCCTGTAGATAATGTACAATTGACAATAAGAATCGTTAATACAAAATTTCAATTTATCAATTATCAATTTCTAGAACTGGATATTTTAAAAAATATATTCGATTAGTTAAAACTAAAATTTATTTTATTTTAAAATTTTCTATGAATACAAAGTTTAATTTTGTAATTCATTTTAAATGGAAATCAATTTTGAATGAAAATTCATAGCAAAGAATGTAGTAATAAAAATACTGGTATAGGAGAAATAATGTTACATCACCGACTTTTCTTTTCTTTTTTTTTTACGAATCTTAAAGATCTCTGAGCTTACAGCTTATAAACTATCAACCTTTGCTGTTTGGAGTCGAATGGTAGACCAATTGGAGTTTGAAATCACATTTTTGGGGGGGGTATTTCAAAATTAAAACACAAACCCTTCGGTGAGGTTCCTCAAAGGTGCGGAAAATTAGAGTAAAATTAAAAATGTTGGGAAAGAGAGAAAAAAAGAAGAATAAAATGAGACCTGTAAAACGTGAAAAATGCATGCACAAGAAAATAATATTAAATAGAAATATTCAATTAATTAAAAATGTTAAGTTAAGCAAAGAAATAATCCCCCTCTAAATGTTTACAATATATTGAATACAAAAAGGAGATATTTATACAAAAGTTGAAATGAACAATACTGGAAAGTTACGAGAAAAATTAAAAGTTAAATACAATATCCAGTGAAAATAAAACAAAATTAACCATCAATAACAAAATATAAATAAACTCAACTTCAAAATTATAGATAAAACAAGACAAAAAAAAAACTGTCCTAAAAGAATAACTAATTTAGCGAAGAAAATTCAAATTAATATTTAAATGTCTTGGTGATAGTGAGAATATAAAACAAAACAAAAAACTAGCCAAGTTGGAGGTTCTGCTTCAACCTGGTTACCTTCTCGATGCTTAGCTGTCCAGTAATCGATGGTGGGGTGGTATCGATCTCGATCGATTGCTCAGCTGCGCCTAACAGCTGTTATCGAAAAATGGCGCTAGAGTGGTTAGTTGAGGTGAAGTGAGTCTGGAGTGGTGGGGGTAGACGTTCAGTACTATGTCGACAAAGGCATTTACTCGAGTAAATGTCGAGCAGTGACGTCACGAGTGATCACTCTTGGAAGCTGAGCCATGAGTAATTTTGAAAATTACTCGTGAAATATTTTTCCTTCATGAGTAAATCACTCGTGAAAAATGTTATCTCCATGAGTAAATTACTCATGAAAAATTTTAACGCCATGAGTAATTTTGAAAAAAAAAATGTTTTTATTTTATTTAACCTAATTTTTTTTTTCACCTTTCCGATTTATTCAATATCGGGGTCGACATATATGTTTCGGGGGGCGCTTTTTATGAAAATGATATCCAATTTGAGATTGGGCCCCCCCGCCCCCGTTTTTTTTTAACTTTTGGGATTAAATCGATATCAGGGTCGACTTATAGGTTTTGGGGGGCGCTTTTTATGAAAATGATATCCAATTTGAGATTGGGCCCCCCGCCCCGTTTTTTTTTAACTTTTGGGATTAAATCGATATCAGGGTCGACTTATAGGTTTTGGGGGGGCGCTTTTTATGAAAATGATATCCAATTTGAGATTGGGCCCCCCCGCCCCCGGTTTTTTTTAACTTTTGGGATTAAATCGATATCAGGGTCTACTTATAGGTTTCGGGGGGCGCTTTTTATGAAAATGATATCCAATTTGAGATTGGGCCCCCCCGCCCCCGTTTTTTTTAACTTTTGGGATTAAATCGATATCAGGGTCGACTTATAGGTTTTGGGGGGCGCTTTTTATGAAAATGATATCCAATTTGAGATTGGACCCCCCCGCCCCCGTTTTTTTTAACTTTTGGGATTAAATCGATATCAGGGTCGACTTATAGGTTTTGGGGGGCGCTTTTTATGAAAATGATATCCAATTTGAGATTGGCCCCCCGCCCCGTTTTTTTAACTTTTGGGATTAAATCGATATCAGGGTCGACTTATAGGTTTTGGGGGCGCTTTTTATGAAAATGATATCCAATTTGAGATTGGAGCCCCCCGCCCACGTTTTTTTAACTTTTGGGATTAAATCGATATCAGGGTCGACTTATGTTTTGGGGGGCGCTTTATATGAAATGATTTCATTGAATGCGCCCCCCAAAACATAAGTCGACCCTGATATCGATTTAATCCCAAAAGTTAAAAAAAGTCGAGGGCGGGGGGCTCAATCTCAAATTGGATATCATTTTCATAAAAAGCGCCCCCCAAACCTATAAGTCGACCCTGATATCGATTTAATCCCAAAAGTTAAAAAAAACGGGGCGGGGGGCCCAATCTCAAATTGGATATCATTTTCATAAAAAGCGCCCCCCAAAACCTATAAGTCGACCCTGATATCGATTTAATCCCAAAAGTTAAAAAAAAACGGGCGCGGGGGGCCAATCTCAAATTGGATATCATTTTCATAAAAAGCGCCCCCCAAAACCTATAAGTCGACCCTGATATCGATTTAATCCCAAAAGTTAAAAAAAAACGGGGGCGGGGGGGCCCAAGCTCAAATTGGATATCATTTTCATAAAAAGCGCCCCCCAAAACCTATAAGTCGACCCTGATATCGATTTAATCCCAAAAGTTAAAAAAAAACGGGGGCGGGGGGGTCCAATCTCAAATTGGATATCATTTTCATAAAAAGCGCCCCCCAAAACCTATAAGTCGACCCTGATATCGATTTAATCCCAAAAGTTAAAAAAAAACGGGGGCGGGGGGGCCCAATCTCAAATTGGATATCATTTTCATAAAAAGCGCCCCCCAAAACCTATAAGTCGACCCTGATATCGATTTAATCCCAAAAGTTAAAAAAAAACGGTGGCGGGGGGGCCCAATCTCAAATTGGATATCATTTTCATAAAAAGCGCCCCCCAAAACCTATAAGTCGACCCTGATATCGATTTAATCCCAAAAGTTAAAAAAAAACGGGGGCGGGGGGCCCAATCTCAAATTGGATATCATTTTCATAAAAAGCGCCCCCCAAAACCTATAAGTCGACCCTGATATCGATTTAATCCCAAAAGTTAAAAAAAAACGGGGGCGGGGGGGCCCAATCTCAAATTGGATATCATTTTCATAAAAAGCGCCCCCCGAAACATATATGTCGACCCCGATATTGAATAAATCGGAAAGGTGAAAAAAAAAATTAGGTTAAATAAAATAAAAACATTTTTTTTTCAAAATTACTCATGGCGTTAAAATTTTTCATGAGTAATTTACTCATGGAGATAACATTTTTCACGAGTGATTTACTCATGAAGGAAAAATATTTCACGAGTAATTTTCAAAATTACTCATGGCTAAGCTTCCAAGAGTGATCACTCGTGACGTCACTGCTCGACATTTACTCGAGTAAATACAAAGGCTAGTTCCAGACTGCCGACCCAGTAATATTTTGATGTCTTAATCCCTAAGACAGCGCATTACTGCCGTGCTGGTGTGTATATACA